TTCAGAAAAAATAGACACAGCGCTGAAAAAATTGTGCTCGCTACCAACAAAAATTTCCGATTCATCGTGGATACCAGAATGTCAGCCTAATCTTTTTTTCGATTCGCCTTTCGATTTTGTCGAATTCAACACAGCTCTCGATACAAAAAATACTAAATCAGCCCCCGGTATGGATGGTATCGACTTTGAAATACTACAGAAATTGCCAATTAAACTGAATCTAATTTTATTAGATATATTTAATGAAATTTATCTCACTAATGACTTTCCACCAACTTGGAAGCAATCATACATACACTTTATACCCAAAGCAGACAACAACGGCGTGAGACCCATCTCTCTAACCTCTTGTATGTGCAAACTATTTGATACTCTTATAAAAAATAGACTTTCTTGGTGGATTGAATTCAACAATCTCCTTCCAAATAGTCAAAATGGCTTCCGCAAAAGCAAATCCTGCGCTGATAATCTTACCACGTTAACACTGAAAATCGAAGAGGCATTTATAGAAAAAAAACATCTCCTTGCGGCTTTTCTTGATGTACAAGGGGTTTTTGATAGCATTAATATTGATATTCTTCTTACTAAACTTGTCGATATAGGATGTTCAAGAAATGTAGTTTTATTTATTAAATTTATAACTTATGGAAGACTTATTTATGCGGATTTCCTTGGGGATGATCATCGAGAAACCTACAAAGGGGTGCCACAAGGAGGTGTTTTGAGTCCGTTGTTGTATATCATATATGTAGCATGCATCCTCTCAAACATTCAAAAAAGTATTATTGTATCACAGTTTGCCGACGACATCGCAGTATACATAAAATACGGCTCGATTAAAAGAGGAAAACGGATTCTAACTAATTGCATTAAAAAAATAAAAAGCAACTTGGAAAATATTGATTTAGATCTCACGTCTTACAAAACTAAGTTCGTCCACTTCAACAACAAAAATATTCCCCCGGGTTCGCTCGAAATTCAGCTCGACAATTGTTCTATCAAATCAGTAGAAGCGGCTCGTTTTCTCGGAGTTATATTTGATTACAAATTGTCATTTTCTCAACACGTCAACGCAGTCACAACAAAATGTTCTAAATCGCTCAATATAATTCGTTTTTTGAGAGGTACGTGGTGGGGTGCTCACCCCGAAACGCTTATTCTTCTTTACAAAAGCTATGTAAGATCCATAATGGAGTATGGTTCTTTTATCTACTTTCCCAAACGCATCGAACTTGCTGAAAAGTTAGAATTAATTCAGCGAAATGCAATCAGAGCTGCTCTTGGCTATAGGAACAGTACTCCGAACAATGTAATCATCGCAGAATCGAAACTTCCTTTAATGATTAAAAGAATTGAATTCCTTTGTAAATGCTTTCTAGTCAAGTCAATTTCTAACAATAACAGCCAAACCGCTCAAACGATCTCTAAATTCTATTACATTGTTCAAAAGAAAAAAAAGATCAGTTCTCGCCTCATTTCTAAATGTTTAGCCACTGTTATGGTCGACCACTCTGCTATCGAAACACACCCCAATTTATTAATATATCAATATCAATACGAAACGCTAGCAACTTCCATTCCGATCGAAACCGAACTAGGCAACAGACTGAAGGAAAGTAACAATGCGAATGAAGAGTTCATGCAATTTATGGAAAAAAGTCATGCAGTCTCTGTGTACACGGATGGCAGCAAAATCTCTGAAGGGCTTCATACTGGAGCAGCTTGTTATTGCCCAGATTTAAACATTCATATTAAAAAAGCATTACACAGCAGGGCATCTGTGTATACGGCAGAGTGCTTGGCTCTTAATGAAGCGATTGATATCGCCTTTCTTACTAAAAACCGTGAAATCTTTATCTTCTCAGACTCACTAAGCGCACTTGAATCTTTGAAATCGACTAAAATCAACTCAACCACTAATTCATACATCTTAGAGATCAAAAGAAAATATAAAGCATTGTCAACCTCTAATCGTAACGTAACTTTTTTCTGGATTCCTTCCCACAAAGGTATTTCGGGCAACGAACAAGCAGATGTTCTCGCCAAAGAAGCTACTGAAAGCACTAGTTCTGATATCACTGCCATTCCGTTTACTGACCTTTATGAAGATTTTAAAAAGCAGGCGTACGCGGAATCTGAGAAGATTTATTTAGATAAAAGTGTTACTACAGGCACTATATATTTTAATAATTATTACAAAAGTAGCAGAAAACCTTGGTTTGTCGGTAGATCCCTCAAGAGAGAATTTATTATTACAATAAATAGATGTCGAGCTAACCATTATAATCTAGCAGCGTCGATGTATCGCAAAAATTTAGTAAATGATCCTAAATGTAAATGCCAAAAAGAAGATGAGGATTTAAATCATGTATTATGGCAATGTGCCCTCTACGAAGAGCCTAGGAAAAAACTACATAACTCTCTTATGAAACTTAAACTGTTTCCACCGTTATGTATTGAAATGCTTATTGCGGATCCAAATATCGAAGCTTGTATTTGCGTCTTTGAATTCCTAAAAAAATGCTCTTTAAAAGTGTAAATCATTGTAACATATGAAATGAATAGATTGTAAGAAAACTGTACATTCTGTAAATTAAAATTGTAACTTTACTGTAGCATATATATATATCTCTATAGAGATATGAAATGCTTAATAAATAAAAAAAAAAAAAAAAAAAAAAATGATTTAAGTAACAACGATAATAATACTTACACTACTAATGATACTTGACTTTGAAACTAAACCAAATTCTACACTAGTTCTACATCATGCAAACAAATAAAAATATAATTAAATTCAACAACATGATAAAATTAGGTAAATTCGAAATAGACAAACTTGAAAATTGTAATTTCATTCATAAAGTAGATTGCAAACTGCCCAGCTATATAAATAGGCTTAACAACAAGAAAAGCAAAACCCCGAAGAAAGGAACAGAGACGCGATGTTATCTATGATAAATATGAAATCTCATTCTTAACACAGACACATGAAACATAACATTCTATTAATTTTGACAAATTGACAATTTTAGACAGAGAGATCAATAAAAAAAAAGTAAGAATTCAGTGAAATGTTACACATTTTTCACCATAACAACACATTAAATAGAATATAAGATACATAAAATTTAATTAATTCATATAAATCAACACTAAATTCAATCAATGAACAAATAATCAAGAAACATAACATTGAATTGCAAATGTTTATTACAGTCAAGCTGTCTCATCCGAAATAATTTAATAAATAATTTGGCTACCCCCAGTCCACTACTTTCTCTTCGCAATATATCAGGAAAAACAAACTCCTTGTCAGCTGCTATTTTCAGAGAACATGAGAGATGGTGACGTTCTCTACTCACTTTCACTTCCTCATACTAATTTAAAATTTATCATCAATTAATTTACGATGTCACAGGAATAAGTGAAGTATTTGATCATAGAAAGACAAGCGATTGACAACTAGTTTTTTAATGCTTTCTTACAGTTTGACTCGGTATTACATACAAACACACTAATTTTTTACATTTATTTTTTATTTTATGGAAAAAATCCAGTTAAAAGTTAACACTAATAAAGTTTATCCTTGAAAAGTTGCAAAGACTTCGCCTTATTTGCATAAAATATGTACACAGTTGAAATATAAAATTTGTAGCCTTGAAAAGAAGTACAATATACTTGAAACGTCTGCAAAAATAAAATTTCATAATTAGCACTGTCTCGCAGCAAATATTTTATTTACCAATGAAAGTTTTAAAAAGTGTAACTGTTCCCTACTCAGTTATAATATTTACTAGTGTGTTTGACCTCGACAATTCGCCACAAACACTAGTAAATTTATTGTCAATAATAGTTTCAGGGAGTTCATTATGGCTAATAAACCACCGCAAGTGTGCGTTTGTCAATAAATCAACCACAATAGCCCCCGAGACTGAACCGTTAGGAATAAACTGTCGATACTGCTTATAATCTTTTATTGTTCAGCTAAGTTCAATTGTATCAAAATGTGGAAATATTTCATAATTAATATTTTAAGCTGGTTTGTAAAACAGCTACTACGAAAAAAAAAACAGTTTATTAACTATGTTATGTATAGCAATAAATTTTATGCAATTATTTGACTTTGGAATATGGTACTTTGTTTTATTTTATTCAACAAGTATAATCAAAATAAATTAACTGTACAGTCCATTAGTTCGATTAGAGGATTATTTCCAATAAACACACATTAACACAAAATTTTACGTTTGATATGTTTATATTAGCGCAGTATTATCAATACTGCGTTGTAACAACAACGCAAGAAATGTACCTTGTCTTTTCATTTTTCATGTGTTTCCATACATATTCAAAGTGGAGCAAATTAAACTACAAATGATGTAAGAATAAAAATAATAAGCGCGATATTTTTATTTCCCTCAGAGGGCTCACCCCTTGACGGATCGTCAGTGCCATCTACAGAATAATACTGGATTCTCTATCATGTACCGTTTGATGGTTACACATGTACTTTCTCCTTTTCCTAGGCTCAGTTATCCTATTTCATCAAGGAATTTGAAGTTTCAAGTTATTGCGTCACAAATAAGTATTTTTAAAAACTTTCCATTTCTTTTCAATGACGTAGATGTAATTGAAACAAATATGTCCAACAAAACAATACCCATTTAGAGCCATTCGCGTAATAGATACTTTATCTGAACTATAAATATGCTATTGCAACAATAGAAATGTACGCAAATGAATTATTTGGGTATTTTAGGAAAGATGTAATTGTTACAGTGACATCATAAATTAGTCCAACAATGAAAATAGCCGTAATGCCAAAATTGATAAATTGTAAATGAACTATAAAAAAAGTTAATATTGAAAAATAAAAGAGCGTTGTCATAAAAAATAAGTAGAAGGATTTGTATAAGGATTGAGGGATGATGAAAGAGTGCAAGACGAGGTAAAAAAAGGCGCAACTTGGTAAGTTTTTTGTAATTTATAATTAATGGTAAAGTTTTTCTCATCTTACAGTAATTAAACAGTTATATCAATAGCCTAATTAAATTTCAATGAATTTTTATACAAACAAAAAAGGTGAGTTACACTCGTCACGATATAACGTGCAGACCCTACCACCTTCAATCGGGAGACACGGCCGTTTGCGTTGACTCGAAAATACATCCGAAAGTAGAATTTGGACTGGTTCGACTGGGATTCTCTCGAAAGAAAAATTTTCCTGAGATGACTTCTCGCTCTGTTTTGGAAGAAGCGCGCGTCTCCCTTCCTCCCCCTCGACCGCATTTGTTTCCTCCTCCGTCTTCTTTATTTTTGTTCATCTCACATACTTTTAATCGCGCGCTCTACATCCTTTCTTAAAACTCTTTCTTTCCATACTCTCACTCATTTGTCTTTCTCTCTTCCTTTCGCTATTCGCCTGCATAAATAACGTAAATTCCCATAAATGTAAAAAGAGGTGGTCATCTGTATTTTCAAAATACAAATTCGCTAGCCGGAAGGGATCGCTCGCACGCGATCGCGCGGATGAGTTTTCACGCATCCCCGCCATTACGTTCAATAGATACGCTTCCTGTCATCTTTAACATAAACAGTGTCACCTTTTAATTTTTCATGCATTACATACGTTTCCAAATGAAATCAAGCGCTAACCATTATTTTCGCTACACCATTTTTCATCCATTATCTTTCCCGAATTTCCTCTCTCAATTATCTAAATGTGTGAATGAATAATCCGAAGAAAATGAGTTTTAACATTCGTAAAGAAGGTGACTATTTAGTTGCTATTGTTAAGGCATTGAATACGTTTTTAAACGGTTAAAAAAATTAAATATTTATCTATCAACGAGATAACTCTCGTTCTTTCTCTTAATCTTCAACCATATTCTCGGTATCGAGAGAGGAAACAACAAATAAGTTGACCTGCGACTGCACGTGCTGCGATCGCGAGGCTCGAGGCTTTACAATACACGAGCGACAGCCCCGCGACAGACCGCCGCCTCGCTTTCCACGCAACGCCTGCAGTCGCAAGTGCAACGCAACATCGCACAACGTCGGTCTATTATAGGAATGATACTCAACATACAATTACGTGCAGGTCACAATACAAAGTTGAAAAAAGGGACCGTCCGAAAAAGGAATAAACAGACAAGCTAGACGTGAAAATCGTTCAAACTTTCGAAATCAAGTGATCGTCGAAAAAGACAAGATTTTTGCGTTTTTCTTTGCTTTCTTCGCTTACATTTAAATTTTTTTATCATTTATAATTTCTTTTCCTTGCTCAGCATCATTCATCAAGCCAGGTAAAATCTAGAATTTTACTTCCTGTTCTATGTCATTTTACATTGAGTATACGTTCCCACTTACAGCTCCCTTCACAACTCTTTATAATTTCTTACTTACTTAAAAATTTTTAGCGAATTACTCTTTCGTTATATTATTTCTCGAAAATTGAAGGTTCTTTCTACTTGCAGTTTTTTCATTAATATTCTTTTTTTTTTTTTTTTTTACTTTGCTCTTGATCGTCGCATTGCGAGACGACGGGATTGTGGGGCGCTTTATCAAACAAGCATGTTCTCTTAAAGCTAAACTTACGGTGTACTATGATATATAATGTATTTTTCGCTGAGCGCGCGCTTGCGTATTTGCGTATTTTCTTTGCGTATATCTTGACATATTTTTTCGTGTATGTCGTGTCCGAAAGGGACAGGAGGGCCGGGGGCATTTTTAGTTTAAGAATCACAACGTACGGAGCAAGTTTGCGGGTTTACGGGAATTGCTTGCGTCCAGCGCATATAGAAAACATAAATATTAAATAAATATATATAACCGGTTCTATGTACATATTCTAGCTGATATGAGTGGAGGGAACTCGAGTGAATGAAAAGCTGTCGATGTGTTGAGTTTCGGAGGGGACGTTAATCAAGCTCGACGCCTGCTAACGAAGAAACAACACGACGGAATAAACTTATAAACATCACACAGTTGAGAGTCTGGCGGAAAAGAAAACAACACTAAACCGCAATACTTTAAGAGTAATCCTAGTAATCGAGATAAAACATTAAAAGTAAGAAAAATTCATTCGGGATAAATAAATATGAGGAACCGATTGTAGGCGCGAATACAAGTATCGAGGTAAAGTGCTTTCGTATACGCTTAATTAAATGTTACGTCATGTTGGCAATGCCCATGTACGGTCCGCTCTCGAGATCGTTTGTTTGGGATAACTTGACGCACGCGCGTGTTTCCGTATGAAAGTCGACAACTTATAGCCCGACATGAGATTCTGAAATGGCTCGGCTCGGCTCGGCTCGGCTCGGCTCGGCTTGGTACGCTCGCGCGCAGTGTGAACGCTTGCAACAGTCTCGCGTACGAGGACGACGACGACGACGACGACGACGACGACGACGACGACGACGACGACGCTACATCGTCGAGTGTACTAAGTGTCGAAAAATGAGAATCTCGTCGTTGAACACGGACTTACGCTTGGCGACCTCGCTTACTTGGCTATTGCATCGCGTCATCGATATTATTACTTGAGAAAAAAATGTTGATTATTAAAAATTCATCTTTAACTTTGACGTTACTTATAGACTATTATACTTTGTAGTTTGTACTTGGTTTCCAACTATATACGTGAGAGGAGGATTCGCGCGGAGGCGAGCGGACGAACATTGAAAAAATTCGCGCTCTATAATATCGCGGCGCACTCTCGATTTCACCTTCTTTATTACTAAAGCATCATTTATCAATAATAATCATTGTCATTATCGTTATCATTATAAACATTAATAATCTTATTATCTTCATTAATTAACTCTTGACTCTAGCGTGAATATACTTAAACGTCAACGTGGTATCGACAGAGTATCACTGTTTATCACCGTCAGATATCATTCGTACTATTATTATTATTATTATTATTATTATTATTATTTTATTATTATTATTATTATTATTATTATTATTATTATTATTACTATTATTATTACAATAGATCGCAAAGTAGCGCTTGTGTTGCTTTGTAATTAGATTGGCGCATAAAATTAATACGTATATTATGATCATTTGTTTCTTTAGAGACGTTGTAAGCTATTTATATCGGTGTGCACCCTGTAAGTCGTGATTATATTTTATTCTTCATTACTTGAGGTAGTCTTTGTACTCGTGTATTTTTTTTCAAATATTATTACAGTATGTTATTGGTAATTTATTCATTTGCTTTGCCACACGTGCAGAACAGTCACACGATCGAGCAGGCTTGCCTCACAGACACGTTCGTACTTTTCTAGTTAACAACTAACAATCACAACTGTAAATCATCACAAGCGAAATGTAACATCGAATACTGTTCATAACAACGGCAGTAGCAGTGTAGTCTAGTATAACAAGTATCATAAAAATTGTACTGTTGAGAGAAAAAAAGCAATAGAATTCGATCGACGTGTGCATCGGCAACACCACTCGACCACATTTTCCATGTTAAGCAAACGAACGCTTTCGTTCCGTTATTTTCTGGACTCGCATACATCGCGTACGTAGACAGACAAGTCATAATAATATAACACATCTCCTTCCCGCGCAAACATGATCTTTTTCTTTACTTTTATTCAGATTAACGTTCTAGCTTATCTAATTACGATTACTTTGTACTATGATTTGCCGGTCGAGCTAATGGCCCCCGACTGATTTGTTTTCTTATTTCCTTTACCATCTGCCCCACATAAGAACCCATCGCAATCCCGCGCCGCTACAATCAAACATCATTTCTTTTTTTTTTTTTCTTACTTTTTCACCTTCGTATTCGCTATTATAAACATTATGTTATTACACTATTACAGTATATAACGCAGCGTCTAAGCGCGCAGTTATCACGTCAAGATTTTACGTTAACATGCACTGTTTATGAAGTGATGAATGAAAACTCTCTTAAAGTCCGGTTTGACGGTAAACTGATTTGTCCGATCGCCGCCGATCGTTGCGACTTCCATCTTGAGCTTCACTATTCGTATATAAATATATTATTTACGTATATCTGCAATAAAAATACTCAATCGTTATCACTGTCGTAAAATAAGTTTCTATGATCATTTCTGCGCGTAGATTATAACTCTTGCGAAAGCCCAATGGAAATCGCGACGAGCACGGCGTTCTAATAAGATTCTTGTTTTCCTTCGCTGTGTACATTAATCGTTCAATTACATCGATCACCATACGGTCGACTCGTCGAGAAACTCGATCGACGGTCGCAATGACATGAATTTCAAGTCTTCGCTCGCCTACCATCCATATAATAAGGGCACCGGCTCTCCTACGCTTTTTTCCTACCTAGCGTGTCTTTTGTAATCGAACCAACGAAAAAATTGAAAACAATTGATATATACGTGTAGTTGAGTATGTGCGTGTGTGAGTATGCGTGTGAATATAGGTGACCAATCTTTTCTAGTGATGAGTGAGCGTGAAGTTCGCATAGTGACCATATCAATTATTTAAGGATTATTATAAATCGCTCTCTACGTCATTAATACTCGATACTTTTTTTGCGTCATCAGTTTCAAGCATAAAATTTCTTTGTTTCTCGTCATCTCAATCCGTCATTCGATCAGACGTGTTTGTCCTTTTCACATCAATGTCGAATTTTGTCGAAATTTGAGAAATTCAATGATTTTCCCGTTTCCGCCAATCCCAATGTTTTAATACGTACGTGAGACTTTATCTGTTTATTTTTTCCTCATACGGACGTCGCGCGCAAGTAATTTTCATTTTTAATTCACTTTTTTTTTCGTTTTTTTCCTTTTTTCTTTTTTGTTTTTTTGCATTTTTCAAGAAGAGGAGGTCTCTGCCGGATACTCAAACGATAGAGCAACGTTGCACTCGCGTATGGTATCCATGTTTTGAGAAAAAATCACAAAGAACGTGTGTTTCCTTTCGCCTAATGAAGCGCGCGCACGCGTCCATGATGTGTCATACCACCACGACATCAATTACAAGGATTTTGAATCCGTTCAAAAACACATATTATATAAACAACATGCAACATATTATCCTATAGCGTATTACATTGCTCGCTTGGGCCAAGCTCTCAAGATACACCGCCGTTCCCACCTATAGCTCCGTGTTTCCTAGCTCACGGCGCGCAACCACGCGCGCGATTTGTTTCCAATTCTTGCCATTAATATAAATTCATGTATAAATGTTGATTGATTAAATATATACATAGGCGAGGGGCACGTGCGCGCGAACTTGCAGATCACAACGCGTATATGCGCGCAGTGCCTGTCGCTACGCCATCACAAACCCGAGACAGGCTTTGGTGTGCGATCGGCCGAGCTGAACGATTACCGAGACTAGCCGAACAATTTTCCGCGCCTCGACCTCTTTGTCTCGAGACGCTTCCCTCTGGTACCGAAATCACGCGAGTTGCGCGAGCTTTAGCTTGGGCTGTCGCGTTGCACCACTCCGTGCCCGTCCTCGTCCAGCTCCGCACAGATACGTTAGCGTGACTTCTATTTCTCTTAATATCACCGCCCAACGCGCTTCATCATCAATAACTCTTTGAACTAATTAACAAAAACAGAATTGAAAAACCAACAAATACGAGTCATCTCGCGCCAAAGATTATGATCAAGTGTCATTTCACGCGTCCGTGATAATGTATCAGCGTTTAGTCGTCGACAAACAGTTGTTAAGAGATCGGCTTGCTTTTTAATGAAAAATCAAACAACAAAATGTCTTGGTAGACGAGACGTCGAACAGCAAAACATAAATCGAATTTTCGTTCTCTCCCAAACATTTCCGAAACGTGTTCTCTTTTCATCGAACAGTGGCTTGCGCTCTTGCAATTGCGTAAAACGAGATGACGAAATGGGAGAGATATTTTTTTTGTCCGTTATGCCGGCCGCACTGCCAAATTAGATATTTTTCACATGCACATTTACAATATAACTATACACGTACGTCTCAACGGTTTTCGCTTTTTTTGCGATAATTATAATAACTTTTGATACTTATCGTATTATATTTTTGTTATTATTAATGCAGTATATACTTTTCATCTTAGCTACTTTCCATTTACACGGGCATTCGCAATCTTAATTTTACATTCACTTCTTTTGTATTATGCCAAAAATTATGTTTTATTAGATTCATCACGAACACGCAAAAAATTTCCTTCTTTGTTATAATAGACATTATAGCGCGCGCTACTCGAACATATGATGCAAATATGCTACTTTTTAATTAAACTGCGTATGTTTATACGTGTACAATATTACTGTTAAACTAGAAAATGTGTCGATTCTTCTTTTTTCTTTATATATAATAGTTCCTAAATTTAAGGTGAATTCATTTAAATAGAAAACGCCAAATACGCCCATTAAAGCATTAAATTACGTGAATTTATGATTAAAGTTACTTTAATTATACGTCTATGTACAAATTAGCAAATCATATTATAGTAAGCGCAAAATTCTCGTAAAGTTATACACTTAATCGACACATTTTCAGAGAGAGGAGAAAAGCTCTCGCAGATTGTTAGCGTAATTTATAAATCAACTCCACATGCGTAAAAAAGTATAATGCATAAAAGTAAACAAGGTAAATGATTAGCTCGCGTGGTAACTCAATAAACTTATAAACAAAGATTAGAAAATTAACACAAATGTAATTTCAGTTACACTGAAAAAGAAACTAACGTTCAATGAAATTCAATCTCCGTTCAACAGAGAAATATAAAGCGCTTGAAAAATAATATGAATAATATTCATAAAACACTTGAATAGAAATTTTTTTTTAATTCATCCTATGAATTAAAATTAAAAAAAGAAATAATATATGTACAAACTATAAACGTCATGACAATTTGTTTTTGATTGACTGTCATTTTCGCACACTTTTCTCTCCCTCGTATTTTATGAATTTCGCACGTGTTTTTTCGTGTCCGAGAATACATGTCAAGAAGTTTTTATAAGTGTCAAAATTACGATACAGGTATAGTACGATTAATTTAGGTACACCGGCTTTGTCGAATTATCTTCGAACGTTATCGAATAATTTCGTAAATCAAATGCCTGGTACAAATCTCGTGTCCATTCAATTTTATTTTTGTCTACCCACTCCTGACAATTTTATCCTGTCTCTGTGGCTAGGAAATTTGTTTAAACACTGTTCAATGCTTTTCTTCAATTTTAGCGCACTCCAATTTTTCGCCTCCAGCTTATGATTATTATTTTGCTTAGTTTTTTCAGGAAATGTAGATCAAAAGTTTTATTAAATATTTTAGTAAATAGAAACTTTCCACTTCTGCGTATTTTGACTTAATCAAATTTCTAACCTTATTTTTTTCGTAAAAATAGTGCAGCATCATTCATACTTATATTTCAACATGCATATAGTAATATACAAGTTTTTATATGTTCGCGGACGTGGAATTAATAATTCTTATGAAGAAATTTTTTTCGTATTTTTTAATGTTGTTTTTTTAGTTTTTTTTTTCCTTTTTAATTTTTCTTAAGTTGAATGAAAGCGATCGACCGAATTGTAAATAAAATATAAATTTTGTTTCTTGGTATGAGAAACCGAATATTCAATTAACGAAAGAATATTTCTTTTGCATTTTCCGGCTTTAAGAATGCCGAGTGTTTTGAGTTAATGTTCTATATCACTCAAGTCATTGTTGTTATAAATACAAAAATGTAAAAATAAAATCTGTCTAACAAACTATTTACTCTTTGATAACATAAATAAATATTCTATAACTAGCTATTTTATGTCGAGTGCTGGTAATCTAAGTATTTTGACCTACAGAAAAAAAGGAATTGTTACTAGTTCTACTTGCGTATTCCAAAAAAAATCAAGTGCTTTATGCAGTGTGATTACGATGGCATATGCTCGTACGTGTAAATACAATGAATATCAATGTGACGCATATATTGTGTGTTGCATGACTATCAGTTCTGTTGAAAAGGCTCTGAGGTAGTAGATTCCATACTTTTGGCAGAGTCGCGCAGAATAATTATCTGCGCGCGGATTTTATGTTTACAGTGCTATGTGTATTTGTTTGGTACTATTAATCGATTATTGTTCTGTTTTTATAATTCGTATAATATTACTTTGTTAGTTTTTTATTTATCACGGTTCATGACTGTAAAAAATGCCTCTTTGTAATACCTATCATCATGATCAATAAACAGCTTTAAATAAATCTCTATTGTCTCTATTGTCTTTGATATAAATAACGTTCTTATCTTTTTTTCTTCACTATTATAGGCATGTCGTTGTTAGGTAACTCTGTGCGAATCGATTATAAAATCGTTCTGTAACAAAAACTATTGAGAGGAAACAAAAAAAGAATAATCTATTCTTTTTCAAAAACGTGTAAATACTGCAACAATTAATATCGCGATGCCATCCTGACTAGGAATATACCTAACTTTAATATAAATGAGCTTCCGTGTAAAATACAATCGTCTAATCGCTAATTCATCCTAAAGCTACCGAGTACATATATCGCTGTTTTAGAAAACAGTGTCCAATATCGCGCCCCTTGATTTGATATACATGATACATGATAATATTATATAGATATAGTCACTCAAAAAGGTCGCTAGTCACGCAAGTGCGAGACTGATCAAATCAGTTTTTGAGAATAAATCGCTGACTGGAGCCAAAGTGAATCACGAAAGGGGCGAGAGGGGGAGGGGGGGGGGCTGATCGTTTCTGCATTGTTTCGCGAATAATTTCGTTTGATATGAATTTGGAAAATCAAGGACTTGAATTGGCAGCGACATTTGTAAGAGGTACTCGCCGAGCCAGCCCTGCCACTGGTTGCACCGAGGTGGCCGGGTGTCGCGCTCGCGCGAGAACAGCACTTTGTAAGGTCTTATAACTCTTTGCCGATTAAATCATCAATCTTATTTCGTTCAATAACTATTTCATTTAATTCTCTGGCGATCCGGCGGCTACTATGTTTAATTATACTCTTTGTGTCTTTGCTTAAATATCACCTATTAAAAATCGCGTTTCACTATTGCTCCGGACAAAAGTCCGATTATCTGTATTCATTAAACACTGTAAATAGTTAACAAAATGATATTGATTGTTATGCTCTGTTTTATGTTTAGTTATCGGCAGACAGCTGGCGATTGGCCTGTTCGTTGCCGAGTCGAATCACTTGTCGGCGCTCGTCGAAGTCTCGTGAAGGAGGCGCAAAATCGTCATCATCACCCGTCATCATTTAAGGAAAAAACAGAGAGTAAACGCATAGCTCCATATACCTATATTATATATATTTCATCATTTATAAACTGCGTGCTTGGTCTGTGTAGAAGTATAGCTTAGTAGTAAATATCAGGTAAAACGTTTTATCGTTACGCCGCGGTCGGGCCACCGCGTGACAGCGGACCGCGCGTAATAAAGGCGCCCTGCATTGCATATTCAATAATAATCATCGTCTTTTCATCTTACTATCATTAACTATTGCACGTAGGGAAACAGTCGATATATGTAAATATTGCAGTCTTAGTTATCGATTTGCGCCGCCTCTCAACAAACTCATCCTTCACGAAAGTTCGAGCCTCGAGCTTATCATCACCGACAATCGCGCCTGTCGCCATTTTATCATCCTCCAATGCATCCTTTTCATTTTCATTAATTCATTATTACTATTATTATTATTATTATTAGTATTATTATTATTATTATTACTTTAATGCTTCAATAACGTGGCTAGTTTCTGTTCGTCCTTAAGATTCTAACGCTAGTATGTATACATTCCCTCTCTCTATGCCTCACTCTCGCGGCGAGTCTGCGCTCGCACTTAGCACTGACATTATCCTTTATCTCTTTCCCGTTCATGTCATTTTTTTGTCTCTCCGCGTTACGTATTCCGAGTACGTATCGTTCCGCCCGTTTAATACAACAAATCTATCGAGGTGTGACATTCGTGTGCGCCTGTATGCCTCTGTGTAGGTGTGTATGCACGTGTTTGTGTGTGTGTACGTGTACGTGTATCTTTCGAGAAAGTCAGTTGACTTGTCGGTATTTTGTCTTCTTCTATGTTTTGACACCGTGCGCATCTCGTTCGCGGTTCGAGATCGTCATCGGTGTTTCTGACTTGTAGAACGAACGTAAGTAAAGTCTATTTGTACATGAATATAATTGTCTCGGTAGAGAAGAACGAAAGAACAATGCGTATCGTAAAGTTGCGACAAAACCGCAGCGTTTATCAACGGCACGATAGGCGTCAGTAGTATGTATATCAACGGCGTTACAATAATCATCTATTTATCGTGTATAAAAAACTAGGATCATATTAATCGGTTTCTTTTTCATCGCAGCTCGGTTTAGTTCATCAATAATTATCAAATGATCTTGCATCTGTCTCTCATGCATATCTATAAACTATAGTCTTTGTAATTATTGCGGTAACGATAGATTCTCCACTATTAGCTCGCGCGCATTAATAAAGTCGCATAAAACCTCCGAATATCCTCGTTTGTCAGCTCTCTGCTTGAGAATCACAAAAGCACAAGTGGGTGGGTATTCATTGGGGATCTGATTGTTAATTCGCAGTGAAGCAATAGCAGCATCGACGGCATTCACGCACACATAAACCGTGGTAGCTCTGGTTGTCTCCTCTTCTTATCAGTCGATTACTGGCGTTGCACTTTGATTGACTAGTTTCAGGTGTGCAGGTGTGTGTGCGTGTGTGTGTGTGCACGTGTGTGCGTGTGTGTGTGTGCATGAGTGTGGACAGGGGGCGCGGTAAGTTGGGCGTGACGGTTGGGGCTAGGCTGGCTGGCCGCGGCAGTCATTTGGCCGTGAGCAGTTTGCTCCTCTTGTTGCTGTTGTTGTTGTGGTTATTGTTGTTGTTGTTGTTGTTGTTGTTGTTGTTGTTGTTGTTGTTGTTGTTGTTGTTGTTGTTGTTGTTGTTACCGATGACGGTGTCACTGTGGTCGCAGCTGTTGCCGGGCTGAGGCGCGCGGCGCCTTGGCTGACCGCGGGTCGACGCAGGCTACTGCTGTCCGGCCACCCGGTCGGAGACCAAGCGGTTCGCCTCCTGCAGAGCCTTCTGGTTGAGCTCCTCCTTGTGCTCGCGCGCTATATGCCGACGCACCGTGTTATTGCGGGTGAAGGTGCGCGAACAAAACGGACACGGCACTCGGATGCCCTGGTGTCGCTGCCTTATGTGCGCCCGCAGATTCGTCTCGTACCCGTACAGCCTCTCGCAGAACGGACACTTCAGCTTTTTACCTGCAACACACAAATACGATTCAGTGCCATTTTGTCATTCAACTTGCTGCCAGCTCGCTCTCGAAGAACATTCATTTACTAATGCTGCATTGAAAAAAAGTGAGTCTCCCGAAGGCAAATGCGACTGAAAAGGGCACACAAAGCACGACGAATCTAAGTACAAGTTAGCCTCGGCCACCGCGCTTCGGTGTACAACACTCTGAAAATCCCGAGCGGGTCGCAAATTCAGTCGTGTGTCTGCTAATACCCGGCGTTCACAAAGCCGCAAAGCCCTTCGCGCGTCGCCGGCGAAAAAAAAAGGAAGCAGCGAGCGAACGAGAGCCTCGAAAAAAGCGTCGAGAAAACGCGCGAACAGATAAAAACGTATAAAAACGTGCCTTTGAGAATTAGGCAGAGAGCGGCTAAGGGTCGATGCTGCAAGAAAAAAAAAGAAAAAAAAAGAAAAAAAAAAGAAAAAAAAAAGAAAAAAAAAAAGAAAAATGTGACTTAGAAAATCCGTGTGTCCGTGTGCTTAGAGGCAACGTTAGAGAGGGGCCATTGGCTTCTTCTAGTTAAAAGACTTGCAAGGCCGCTCACGCACATATAGATACTAATTTATTTGCCGCATTGGCGCGATTAAGTCATCGCTCAAAGGTCTGTACAATGAGATATATGTATGCGAGTGTGTGCGTCTATGTACACAGCGCCTGCCATAGCCGGGAAAATGAATAGACTTCCCTTGACATTCCATTAAGGTACACGTACAAAATAGATGACCTCGTATGGGACTCGACGATGACGCTACTGACGATGTTGCTGTCGCGCACAGACACGTGTTGCAACCTACCTATAAAATTAACTCCGACTCGGGGATTATACGACAAAAGTACGTAATCATTGCCGCGCGAGCGCCTAATGATTATGCAGCCAGGTTGCCTAATGCTTATACATCTTGCTTTCCCAGGTAAACATAGTCCCCGTATGCCCTCCTTTGCCACCGAGACCTCGTTATATTTCAACACTTGGAGCTTATACCTACACGTCCTACAGTGCTGTTCACCTTAATTACCTTTTGATTATGGAAACGCGTTGGGATAAAATAATGAAAGTTTAGGCAACTTTTCTCGTAAGATCAAATTTACGCAACTGTGTCGTGTAATAAGTACGCATTTATATTCCAGGTAGACAAGGAATGGCCCTTTGCTAATCTGCTTGAAAGCTGCATGAAACAACAACAACAACCCACGTCCAGTAACTTGAAGAAAAATATAAATCTTGACATGTTATTATAATATTATAATCGATCATTCAGTCGTAGCCCATGAACTCGTTTGCTTTCAATGCAAGTATCTAATCAAAATTGATCAGAGCCAACGTACAATCTAATGATTCGAAATACAATTTGAAGGCCAGCGCTAGGTGATTCCAGGTAGTGCCGTGTCGCCGCATTGCTCAACTCGAGGTTTACGCACATTTGCATGCCCACATGTGTGTCTGTGTGGGTATGCGTGGAAGAGCTACGCTAGATTTGAATTTTTTTTCATGGCGCCTGATGACGTTCGCTCGTTCGCTTTGTATTCTTTGTGTCGAGTGCAGAAAGGTCATTTTTTACGGTTGACTGGACACCAAAACGATCTTGGATCGAAAAATGCTATCGGCAGGTATAGTCTCATCGACATGGCATACCAATCGTTTCATTGGATGTAGTTAGCAGTAACAGTCGATTATGTGATTATGGAAAATCAGTTAATTAACGCCGCTAATTCGTTAATTAACGTCGACCCTGAAATTATATGGCTCAAGTTCACCGAATAAGTACTTACTATTTAGTACGCTATAGTCTGTCCTTCGCTGCCATAGTATGGGCTACCTATTTAGCTGCACAATGGACCGATTTGAAAGATTAGATACCGATCTCGCGTACATTCCCTTGTTGTCCTTTGAGATGTTAAATAAGTCAAAAGTCAGTGTTTAAGAATGTTCCAAGCTTGGCATTAAAATTCTTGCGTAGCACTGACAGACGAAGCATCCAAAGTGACGGTAGTCTCGTCGATCAGCCGGATGAAGAATCCGGGCAAAGGCCATGCACGCGGAAGTGAGAAATAACGAATGCGGACGGCTTGTCGAGGGAGCGCAAGGGCAAGCGGCGCTGCTTGCTGTCCTGCGAATGGATAACGAAACGAACGAACGCGGAAAGAGCCGGGCACAAAGAGAGCTCGCGCCACTAGCCACCGAAACAAAGGGCCGATCGCGCGCGCGAAGACGCGAATGACTAATGAAGCCGCCGTAGCCTGGGGGGCCTGCGAGCCGCATATTGCGCGCGGGATCGGGCTCGTTTTCAGCGACGCGCATAAACGAGCCGAAAGCGGAGAACAGGAAGAAGTGGCGGCAGGGGCGGGCCCAGGCGCGCATCGGCCTTTGGGAAAAAAGCCACGACGGATTGCCAAACCGCGCGGCCAGTTGTTACGTGCTGCTGGCGCGCCTTTCGTCTTGTTCTCGGCAGGTGTCGAAGCGCTCTCTTACCGCCTGTTCGGCGCTTCCGTAAACAACCTCTTTCCATGCTAACGATGTTTGCTTTCTTTTCCAAGTGGACGCTAAGCGATGCTCTACGCGAGTCCACGCGTACGTCTTTTCAAAGCCGGCTTTTCCTTGCGTCGTGCTCGTAGCGAGTTTGTTTTTTGCACGGGCCGAACAACCTGGATATTTCACGAAAACCGAACGGTCGCTTGCTCCGCAATGGAAACAACAGGTTCCGGTCAGTCGAGTCCTCTTCCGCAGTCGCTATGATCCGTTTCCATTAACAGTGATGGCAACATTTTTTTTTCTCTAGGAATATCAAACGAATCAAGGAAATTGAATAATCGGTTCCTCGCATGACTTGCCTGCCGAAATAGAATTAGGCAAACTAGGGCACATCCTTACGTAAGCATCGAAAAGGCTATCGTAAACAAGACTATACTTCAAGAGAGAGAGAGAGAGAGGGGCAGAAATCCGAGCTCGGTCACATAAAGAAAGAAAATCTCGCGAAGAAGAAAGAGGAGGCAGAGTGTAAGGCATTCCGTACAAAAGCAAAACGTACATTTGAAAGTCGGCCTTCGTGTCGTCTCTCGAGGTTTTTTTTTCTCTTCTCCTCGAGAGAGAGAGAGAGAGAGAGAGAGAGAGAGAGAGAGAGAGAGAGAGAGGAGACCGCGCGAAGGGCTTCCCAAAGAGTTAGGAAAGCCAATGGAGGCCACGCACGGCTCTCCGCAGCTCACGCATACAAACTTGCAAGAGGGACAGTGAGAAAACGGCAAGGCTAGATATTACGAAACTCCGTCAGCATCCAAGGCTCACATATACATACATACATCACATCCAAGATGGTCTCCTATAGACCATCTCTTCTTCCCCAGTAACGCGATCTCTTGATCTCTTTCCTGATTGCCTACCATACACTTGCTCACTCACACACGCGCGTGCAAACTCGACCGACCGCGTACAGCTATATTATACGTATGTCTTACTGGCAGCCTTATCATCTTGACCCTTTTACTCCTTTCCATTTTCTCTCAGCTTGAGCCCACATGTACACAAGTTAGTTGATAGAATGGCAAAGTGTAGGGCAAACAAATCGTGTAACCACGATTGCCAAAAGTATGACAATTATCGTTGGCCACGTCCGCACACTCGAATATCTTAAGGTGTCTTTTGTCTTTATTTAAAAGGAACTATAGTTGCGGTCATCGGAAGAAACCGAAATCTGCCGCTAATTACCGACCTTCGTCGAAATTCCCGAGTAATCAGTAATCGGATGAGTGAGGAGTATATAAATGCGGATCGATGCGACGCGTGACTTGTCGCACTCGCTCTCGTCATCGGCAGTTTTTTTATTCACAACTGTATAGGACGAAGGCTGCGCAATTTGAGCGGAAAGGAAAAAGTTTGACAAATTGCCCAAGAGTTTTTCCTCGGGGAGTTTCTACACAAGAGTGATTTACATGTATCTCGAAGAAGTTTTCATCCGCGGCCCCGTCTTACGGATAACATTTGGGTTGGGCGCGAAGCGAACTACATCGTCCAAAACGCGAACAATTGATTAAGCGTCAAGATAATATTTAGGAAACTATCTTTCGTTGCAGTAGAGAGGGACTCGTTGGAATTGGCAGACGAAAAGAAAAATGAAAGATTAATCGAATAATCTGTAACATCTCAATCGTGCACAATTGCCGGCGTCCGATCGCATCTTGATTGAAGTAATATAGCTACATATATCTTGCGCGCGACGATCAAAATACAAGAACGGCTGAAAATCAATTATAAGACAAGGAGTCGGCATGGAGTGACAAGAATTTTCTCCGTGCGAAAATCATTCCAGCCGCACGGGAGTGCTTACAAGCTAACCATGGAAAGCCATAGAAACATCGAGATACACGCAACCTTGAGGGCAATTTCGGCTGGATGCGAATAGGAGCTGCCCGGAAAATCGAGTTTTTTTTTTTGACGAAAAGAGCACCGCCAAGGGTCAATCCAGGCTTACGTAAGAATGGTCCGTTCGGTATATAGGTAGAGAGCGGCGTGCGGCAACGCCCGGAACGGCGAAGCCGAAGGAGAGAGAAATAGCGAGCGCGCGAAAGGTCTATGTAGTCGCAGGCCTTGACCTATTTCGCTGGCTGGCGCCAAATCGAGCTCTCCTTGGGCGCCCTTACACGAGGATAGCAAGAGAGTTACTATCGGTCGGTCGGGGGAGGGGGCAGCGCGGCCAAGCTCCGAAAGAAGTCGTAAAAGAAGGACGAAGAAGGAGGAGGCGGAGGAGGAGGAGCAGGAGGGCGGCGACGGCGTCGAGAAAGCAAAAAGAAGCGAGCGCGGAGGAAACGCGTAGCCGAGCCGAGCGCACGGCACGCAGCCCCGGGGCGGGAGGGAGGGAGGGAGGGAGGGAGGGAGGGAGGGCAAAATCGATGCGCGGCCCGCTGTGCGTTGCAGCTCGGCGAATCGCGCGAGCAGCTCGAAGGGGAGGCGCGCCTCCCGCGCCGCCAGCCCGCCAC